AGAGAGAGAGAGAGAGAGAGAGAGAGAGAGAGAGAGAGAGAGAGAGAACAAGCCAGCCAGGCATGGTAACACATGTCTGTAATCCCAGGAACTCAGGAGGCTGAGGCAGGGAGAATCACAAAATTGAGAACAACCTAGGCAATAAATAATTAAAAGGACTCAGATGGGGCTTGGTGAAAACATACCCCGAGTTCAATTGCCAGTAATGCAAAGAGACAGACAGAGAGAGAGAGATAAGAAAATCATGAGTTTGATTGAGATCAACCTGGGAAAATTAGACCATATAATATGGGGAGATGGGGGGAGAAGAAAAAGAGTTCATGCTAAGGATGTAACTCAGTGGCAGAGTGCCCTATGTTATTCGATCTCTGGTATCCTAATAAATAAATAAATAAAGCTATCATAAACAGCATTTAGGGCAAGAAGTTTGGGGATTTTTCTTTTTGTTTTTTGGTTGTGTGTGTGTGTGTGTGTGTTTGCGTGCGCGCGCACACATGCTAGGAATTAAACTCAGGGTCATTTGAATGCTAAGCACATGTCCTGCTACTAAGCTGCATCCCTAGCCCCAGCTCAATGTAGTTTTACAAAGTGAACATACCCATCTACCCAACACCCACTCCAAAACCAATTCATTCGTGCACTTGTAGTCCCAGCTCCTCAGGAAGCAGAGGCAGGAGGATCTTGAGGCTGACACTAGGAGTTCCAGGTTGACCTGGGTGAAATGGAAAAACCCCAATTCATAAACAAATGAACAAAAAACCCACAGATCATATTACCAGAATCCCAGATATCCTATCACCAGGTACTACCCAAAACTCACAAGGTTAACCATTATTCTGTCTTCTAACCCCAGAAACTACTTTGGTCTCTTTAGTATTCTATATAATATGAAATTATACACTATGTGTTCTTTTGTGTCTGGCTTCCTTAGCATAATATTGTATTTGTGAGAACCATCCATGTTATTTTGTGTAGCTCTACTTTTTTAGTTCTTATGCATTCTATCATGTGAATACACTTCAACTTAAACATTCTACTGCTGGTGGACATTTGGATAGTTCCCAGTTTGGGTTTTTTTTGCAAATAATGTTGCTATCATCCTTTCTGTATTTGCCTTAGGTGAACATATGTAATTATTTCCATTGTTGCTCTTAGATAGGAGTAACACTGCTGACTCTTAACATTTGCAAATATTCAGTGCTAATACTGGCAAGTAGTTTTCTGAAGTTTGTTTTTTTTAATCCATTAATTCCTATCAGCACAGTGTGAGAGTTCTAGTTGCTCCAAACCCCACTGAATTGAAGTATATCCCTCTGGATCTTGTGTGGAGAATGGATAGTAGGACCTGGTCAGCCATAGATGCACAGAGATGAGACTAATATCATGGAAGGAAGACAGTACCTTCAAATAGCCCAGTGGCCATGGTGATAGAGAAAAGTGAGGAGATTTGAGCTATAAGAGTGTTGCCTCCTGAATTTATGGTGACACTTCTCTTTTCATGAAGATAGTTAGATGGCAGGGAAGAAAACAAAGAAGTTTACCCCACAAAAGGAAGCCAATAATTTGGCCAAAAGTAAAATTCTCAAGGAGGTGGGTGATTCGAAATTGGTAAATGTGATTTGGGGGTGCAACTTAGTGTTAGAGCACTTGCCTAGCATGGAAAGACCCTGGATTAGATCTCCACCAACACAACCCACACATACACAAGAATATCAGAAGGCAATTCTAGGTATTTGTGGATCCTAAATCCTCCCAGTAAGTGACCTCACCAGAGAGGGTAAACAGTGGGGTCAGTATTGACCCTGAATCTGCCCTGACACAGGAGGAGGAAAGGGAGAGTGCTGGTGGAAATTTGGTTCCACTCATCAGGTGCTTCTCTGAGGTTGCTGGGGATGATATAACAGAACTAAAATTCTCAGCCCTTTCCCTGGAAAAGAACAAAATGCTGCCTTTTATGGTGTATGCCAGACAAGACCAAAAGGGAGGGAAGGATCAAAACAGCTGTGGAATTCCAGGGATGGGAGATGAACAAAGAACCTGGCCTGGGCTATGAAAGCAATGTCAAGGCTGGAGGCAAAGTGAGGAGCCTCAAAGGATTAAGAAACCCTCCTCACAGAAGGCTCTGTGGCTCACATCTATATTCCCAGTGGCTTAGGAGGCTTAGGTAGGAGGATCACAATTTCAAATCCAGCCTCAGCAACTTTAAAAGGCCCTCATCAACTCATTGAGATCCTGTATCTAAATACAAATGTAATAATGGGCTATTGATATGGCTCAGTGGTTAAGTGCTCTTTGGTTCAATACCCAGTACCAAAACAATACAAAAAAAAAAAAAAAAAAGAAAATCCTCCCCACCCCTGCCCCCCCACCCTCAATTGAACTCAGCCACATTTTTCCACTGAGCTACAACCCCAGGCCTTTATTTTTTTATGTTGAGATAAGCTCTCTCTGTGTTGCCATGGGTGCTCTTGAACATGCATCCTCCTGCCTCAATCTTCTGGATCTCTGGGCTCACAGGTGTGCCCCATCCCACCCTGGCAACACCAAGGTTAACCTGGTGGGGCATGAATGGTGAAGTGTGGGGTGGCATGGGGCAAGAGCTAAGGGGACTGAGTAGAGAGGCTAAGAACATCTTCCTCATGGAACGTGATTAGGAATTGAATGGGAGAAGAAGGAGAAAGGACTGATAGATTCAGGAGCCATTGAAGCAAAAGTCAAGAAGACTTGAGTTTGGCAAGGTGCAAAAGGATTAAAGTTTTCCAGCCTAGGTGACCTTGTGGATGACATTTTTCAACTAAAAGGATGAGGAAATCAAAGGGAGATGAATTTGGGAAGTATTATCAGGTCACTTCTGGTACAGGCTGAATCTGAGCTATAACCAAGACATTTGAGTGAACACATCTTTTGGGCAGTTAGATTTGGTTCTCTAGGCATGTACAGGTAACTATTGGCAGGGGAATAGCTGATTCCCTGGCAGGAGTGATCTTCCTGTGGGAAAAGTCACAGGAAGAAAAAAAGTTCAGGGGCTGGATCTTAGGAAATCCCACACTCCACATCACAGCATTTGTGAGCATACTCGAGCATATCCTAGCTCACCAGACCTCCCAATACCACTACATCTTCCCACTACTGAAGGCATTTATAGCTAAGGAGCATTTACTCTAAAGCAGTCTTGACAGCAGGCCCACCAGTTACAATTAAATCCTAAAAGCAACTCATGACATAGATTTTACAAACCAATTTAACATAGGACAAACTGAGACCCAGAGAAATGAATCAACTCATTTGAGTGTGAAGTAGTATGGCCCTTGCCTTCAACTCAGGTCCTCCTGATTTCCATTCAGAAAGGCATCTACCATGTGCCAAAATGTATGGGCAATGTTTAATATTGAACCCAACCTTCAAGGAAGCTAAAATATGGACAGAGATAAGTAGGAAAATAAATAATGATAAAGTAAGTTAGAGACCATTCATGCTCCAGGAGAGGTCCAAAAGACTGAGGACATCTTAGGCCACCTCCAGAGGCGGTAAAGACCTTGAGAATCTGGGTTTGTTGCCAGATTCACACTATTACACTGACTCTTGTTTCACAGGTGCTGTGTCCAGGATTCAGAATGGTTCTGGCAGCAGTTGAACATCCCAACTGGGTGAGATCCAAATTAAAAGGAGATTCAGCAGGGCATAGTGCATACCCCTGTAATCCCAGTGACTCTGGAGGTTGAGGCAGGAGCTTCTCAAGTTTGAGGCCAGCCCGGGGCAATTTTGCAGGATCCTCTCTCATTAATAATAAGAAATAAAAAGGCGGGGCTGGGGTTGTGGTTCAGTGATAGAGCACTCACCTAGCATGTTGTGAGGCACTGGGTTCAATCCTCAGCACTACATAGAAATAAATAAATTATATAAAGGTATTGTGTCCATCTATAAGTAAAGTTGAAAGAAAGAAAGAAAGAAAGGGGGGGAGGGAGGGAGGTGTGGATGAGGCCGGAGATGTGGCTTGGGCTGGGGCTGGGGCTGGGGCTCAGCTGGTAGCGCACTTGCCTGGCATGTGTGAGACAGTGGGTTCTCACAAATAAATAAATAAAATACAGATCAATAACAACTAATAAAAATATTTTTTAAAGTGGGGGGCTGCTGTGGATCAATCTCAGTGGTAGCGCACTCCTGGGTTATATCCCCAGTGAGCCTAACACTCCACAAAGAGGGAGAGAGAGAGAGAGAGAGAGAGAGAGAGAGAGAGAGAGAGAGAGATTGAGGATTCGGTTTCTAAACTAGTCTCTCCCTGAGCCACAGCAGGCTCCACAGAATTCCTCACCGCAATGAGTATCTATTGGCCCTAATTTTGCTTAACTCTAAGCCCAGAGTTTATAGGAAAATGTATTTTCAAACGCACTATTTTGGGATGGCTTCCCCAGCCCCCAGAATCTCTATTTAACCTGGCTCCAGAGTCACTTGGCCATGTGGCAGGGGGCTGGGGGTGGTGGGGGGCTCAGAGCTAGGCGCGGTCAGGCCATGAGTGGGGACCGGGCGGCCCTATTCAGCTCACCTTGCACACCGGGTCCAGATTCCATGTTCCTGCTGGTGTTCAGTCTTCGGAATGCTTGGTGCCATCTACTGCCTCTCTGTGTCAGGAGTCGGCCTCAGAATTGGACCCAAATGCTCCATAAACGGCGAGTGGGACTATCACTTCCAAGAAACCGCGTAAGGCTTAACATCTGTCAATGACCCTCCCCCCAGTCTCTGCATCCCATGGCTCCCATGCTCTTCCCACGTGGGTGCCACTGAGCTTCAAGAGAATTCCCTCCACGTGGGTCTAACTAACCCTTTGAAAAATCCCACCCTGCGAGTGGAGGGGACTGCGGGTGGGGGTAGGGCTCCACGTGACCTCCTTCACTCACTGGACCCTACCTGTCCACAGAGGCACTTACTTGAAGAATGATACTTCCTGGAATTTGTGTGAGGAACCACTCAAAGTGGTGCCCTGGAATGTGACGCTCTTCTTCTTGCTGGTCGTTTCCTCCTGCCTGGAGATAGTGCTGTGTGGCTTACACCTGGTGGTAGAGCCCATTCATGCTCCAGGAGAGATCCAAAAGACTGAGGACATCTTAGGCAACTTCCAGAGGAGGTAAAGACCTATTAATTTAGAACTTGAAAACTTCAGGATTAGAATATGGCCCTCCTTGCTCTGAGTCTTATTTTTGAAAAGAGACATGATTTTCTTTTTCTCTCCTTCCTCCCCCTTCCAACCTGGG